TTAGTTTGGGATTTAGACACTAAGCTCACTTTGTCATGTTGTTTGTCTTCATGGACCAATTTGACACAGTGATTTCGCCGAATTATGTAGGTATCCCGAGTCTGCGCACCAAGACAAGCCATATGAGTGAGTCAGGCCGAATCCCCTGAAGCCATAAATTTTTGGACCCGGCTCCTAAGCAAGGAATTCGTTTGCTTCAGGCGACCGAGTTTGGTTTCCGACGCACTTACGACTGCCGCGGTGACATAGTTGACAAACTCCCTCCAGACGACATTAAGCAGCTGCTCAGCTGGAAAGGACCAACCGGTTCCTTTAACGCTGAGAGTATGTTGTATGAGTGACGACTTGAACTTCCTTGTAGTCTTCACAGATGTACTCCGCGTAGCACTTTTAATGGATTAGCAGCGTCGCGTGATTGCTACTGTAAAGTGGTGCATCAACGTTTACGTTAGTTCATCACTCTTGAACACAAAGTCTAAGAGAAATGGTTCGTCACCATTGCTGGATCGCTTGGGGAAGGTGACATGGTTGCATAGCGGTACATCCGTGATTAGTTCTTGCAAGTCAGCTTTGGATTGTTCGTCTGGATTTGCAAGCCTTTCTGTTGTGCGCAAGTTGTGTTCACCTACAAGATGGACGTGAATCTATGACCGCGCCAGGACTCGCTTCATGACCTACACTAAGCGGTGTTCCATTTTCAAGGCGATAAACTGTTGCTAGTAGACACACATCACGCTTTGCCAGAGAATCGATAACTTGTGTTTCTGGATCCTCGATGATATCAGCATGCAGATCAGATCGGTAATACAGGGTAACGCCGCTTCCTGTGCTGGGTTGACCGGTTCTCAGGAGTGTGATGTCGGACAGACCTATATCAACATCAATGGTCTCGTTATTTAGAGATGTTTTGGTTAACGGAACTACGAGTAGGAAGCTCAGCCAGATTGCTGAGAAGACCCTGCGTTTTGGTATACAAGCATTTGAGGGATTCAGTTTTTGGCAGCGTGCAGATTTATACTAAGCATTGTGGAGTCGGCTGCTGGCCACTTTTTGTAGTACGGCAATCGCAGACAACAGGGCGATTCCGATTTGGTATGTGGAGCTCTCCGTCTCCGTAGGCGGCTAGAAACTTAGAACTCCTTCATCAAGCGGCGTGTTTGACTGAGTCCCGTTTCCGAGCGACATGCTGACGAGTCGTACATCAAACCTGCTTGTTCAGCGTTGTCTTTTCGATTTGTGGCCAAGTGTATATCGACAGCGTTAGCCCAGCTGACACAGCACATTAGAAAGGTAGTTCTGCGTGACCGGTTTGGACTAAACGGACATTGCTCCGGCAAAATTGTCTTCTCCAATGCTCCGTGAGTGTATTTGCAATGCTAACCTTCATGACTTTAGTAAGCACCGGAGAGTCTTGGGGCGGTGATTCGAGTATTCAGCATGTAAATGTGGGTTATTTTCCCCTACATCACGATAAAGGAATTAGCAGTTCGTCCAAACATCGGTAAAAAATTAAACTACGGTTTAGTCAGACTCATAGCAACCAACTGCAATGCTTTGTAGCGTGTCAGCAGCGCCATGTTTCATATGTTTGTAAACATGTGAACATGGAAGAATGACTTCGGACGTCAGCTCCCTCTAGAAATTAACGGTGATCTACCGCCGAAGAAGGTGGTTCTCATCACCATATTCCCAGTTAGAAATAATTAGGCGAATTCTTTACTCTGCGTCTCTTAATCGCGTCTAATGCTTTCAGTTACATAGCACACTTAAGTAATTCTGCCACTCAATGTGAGTTCCCCGTCTCTTTTGCGCATGTTCTGACGGCAATCGCGAGATTAAGTTGACTCAATGTTAAGTGCACAGGTAGACCCGATGGCAGGTGGGGGCGAACATGCAATGGATCTCCAATATATACAGACTGGTATCTAACCCGAAACGATTTGGCTTACCCCACTCCTTACAATACATCATTTCCTAACAAACTAGCAGATTAGTTTGAAAATCGCACTATCGTTCCGAAACGCCATGTTTATGGATTTCCAATGCATTTGATCTAATGCACTTGACATTCGCGTGGCGGAGATTTGACGCTCATACCAAACCATCAGATAAGAGCTGGACTTAATGCAAGACAAGCTCAGTAGCTTCTTTGGTGACCAGTCTGTTTCAGGTTATTCTGCCTTGACAATCCCATCCAATTCGTCAGAGAAGTGAGAAGACATAAGTTACGATATGTCAACATTTCGAGTGTTCTCATCAGTCGCAAACACAATACAAGCGGGATTCGTAGACAGTTATATACAGGGGGAAAACTTGGCACACCAATCAAAATGTCAAAACAAAGACCACGGTAACCTTTCTCGGCTTGATAGAAAGACAAGTTACTGCCAGCATTGGTGAAGCTACTTTGTACAAACGGTATCTGGATGACATCCTAGTCTTCACCAGCAACGAACATTCTGCGCGGCTGTCGACAGTTCTGAATTCAATTCATCTAAATCTATCGGTCTCCCATGAGTTAGAGCAACATGATAGTCTGCCATTTTTGGATATACTCATTAAGACGGACCGATGGTACACTACAGCGCACGGTTCATCGCAAGGCAACTTGGAGCGGTCAGTACCTACACTATTCCAGCCTTGCCCCGGTCGCACACAAACGTGGCCTAATGAAAACGCTCTTCTACAGTGCCAGACGGATATGCAGCCCCGAAATGATGCAAGCTGAAGAGGAATTTTGCTTCAAAATATTGGTGTCATATGGTTATCCTGAGAACATTCAGATCCACAGCAGACCTCCCAGGGAGAAAATATCGGTGTTAACCGCAGAGAGAATGAAGGTTTATTTGTTCTTGCAGTTCAAAGGAGACCATGTATCAAATGATATCGGACATAATCTCCAGTCAGCTTTTACGCGCACCTACGCGACCGCTCAGTTGCGACTCATACATACAAAGCGAAGCCTTGTTCTTCATGAGCGTCAGAGCAACTCATCAGTCAGTTCGGCCTCTCACGTCGTTTACCAGTTCACCTGCGGTTGCCGTGGCATTTACATAGGCAGGACTGACCGTCAGTTAGCTCAGAGGGTATCAGAACATGTGCCGAGGTGGTTGGATCAACTGATGACGCAACAAAATGGAGTGGATCCGAGGATGAACCGGAGTCCCGCATCATCTATCACCAAGCCTCTCCTAGCAACCCGACATCAGGTGAACCTGGAGACTGCCTTCAAGGTGTTCTTACGCAACAACAATCCGATAACCTTGGCAATTAGTGAGACTTTGTTAATTAGGGCTTATCATCCTGTGTTGTGTGCACAGAAACTATTGAGACAATCAATTAGGTTACCGTGGTCTTGATTTTGACATTTTGATTGGTGTGTCAACTTTTCCCCCTGTATAAAACTGTCTATGAATCCCGCTGGTATTGTGTTTGCGACTGATGAGAACAATCGAAATGTTGACATATCGCAACTTATGTCTTCTAACTGCTCTGACGAAGTGGCCCACTGTCTTTCCTCTCTGAAAAATCCCATCCAACCTGGTCATTCATCTGGGACAGTGTGGCAGTCACTCTTCGAGATTCAAGTGAAGGTGCCATTCGATCTACTGTTGACTGAACAGAGAGTAAATATCATCGATTAGAGTTACTGTCAGCTTCGCCATGAGCGTCGCATTCCATTATCCTAGAGACTTATGGTGACCAGTATGCCTCCAAGCAGCAGAGTGAACGAACTAATGCGATTTACTCTATGCGCAACATCAATTAATGGAAGCCCGCATCGATTTGTATTATACCTAGGACAAACAAGATAGTATCCTCATTGCGACTACATTCTACACGAGTTTTCACCCATGATCAATATTTTACTGTGTGTAATCCATACCAGGTTCAAATCAACTTAGTGTCTCGTGAACGAATTTCTTTCGTTCAGTGGTAAGCGAAATGCACCATTTGGCTGAGCGACTGTGCGTGCGTATGGCCAATCATTTGATGAACAGGATACCGCGGGGGATTGCGCTGTTCTGTATACAGCAGTATCATGCAATTCAGTAGAAACTGAGGGTGAGATACAACAGTTATGACTTGAGCATCTCGGATATTGTCGCTCCGTGTCGCCATGTGATCATAGGCACGGACTCTAGGTAGCAGTTTTGCGCTTCCTGGCCCTGCACAACACCAGTGGAATGCGCAGTGCTAACGATTTTTGTAGGAATTAAACAGCCTTCTATGACTGTGAGATAGCAGTTTTGATGGAGTTTTCATATGTTAAATTCAACCGAATATTATTGATGAATATGGAACCCTTACTCAATAGCAAATACCGCTATGTCTGCAGCTGTAAAAGGTAGACGCTCGGCTGACTGTTGGAATATTGCCGAGGTTTATCGCTTGATTGACAAACATGACGGAACTCGTTATAAGGTAGATGGAGGTTGTGAATGACTCAGAATTATATTCAAAGCAAATGGAAAAGTTACGTGTGTTTCGAACAACCACTTAGCTTGAGAAAGGCTACTCCTCTAGTGTCGCTGAAGTTAGTGTGATATCGTGCTTGGTTAGCGCTAATTAGTCTGCAGCATCACGCCGAACATATGTGAAATTCCAGAGAGGATAAGGCAATCCCATTTGTTCCGTGAGAAAATCCTTGATGAGTTCAATACTATCATCAACGGTTCCTCAATTTTTATTAGAAGCTCCTCACCAAAATATGGGCGTCTTTGCACTGGTTGCTTGTCATATCTCATCCGAACTCAATCGATTTCCATGTTCGCGCCGTACGATTAATCATCTGTGCCAACCCCTTATCTACAAGAACTTCTAACTTAGAAAGATAATGTGAATAGACTGGGTAGCACATGGATGAAATCCTCGCTCGATCGAAAGCTGTTCGGTCTTCTAGTCTTCGCCACCTAGAGCAGGTAGTGGAAAAGTAAGCATGACGCGTGGATAACAGAGAATGATGCTTCGAAATCCATTTTCCCATCTTTTATTTGCAGTTATCTGCCTGCACCTGGGCAGCCAATTCCTCACGGATGGGTTTGCGTTGAAGACGATTTCTGGACCGTAGCAGTTCTGAACCACTCGCATATCTCTCACGACGCGATCCTTTTTAACGATGCGAAATTCAATGACGGCCAAATGAGACTGATCATGATAAACTCCAAATGTACTCGGTGAGTTCCCCAAATGGTTTTCTGTTTGTGTGAATCGTTCACGCTTAACTCGTCTTCCTTAGCCTTCTACTTCTTGCCGATGGCGTTAGAGAGATCGAATTTCAAGAAACTCATGGCATACTCCGTTGAGTACCGGAGAGTACTTTTAGGTAATGCAGTTAAAATAGAACAAATACAAAGTGTTGAAAACGTGTCATCAGCATGTGGGGTCATTCAAATTGTAGGTTTCGTCAGTCACTGACTCGCCTATTGCCACATGTCTACGTGACCCGTAGACATTGGACACCCACATCTGTCCTGGTAGCTGATGGGTTGCCTCACGGTTTGTCTGTCTCATACTTTTACTATGGGACAAACCAAGTTCATTGTTTAGGACAATCATTTATATTAGCGCATTCCCTCTTCTGTTTTCGTTGACACAACATACACAAAATATAACGAACAAAGGCTTGGCGACCGTAGCTTTAAGGTGGATAGTCAGGATGACCTGGGCTGATCGAGACAGTTCGCGGGGATTTGGAACACCGGGAACCAACACGTTGATCCCTTGCGGATGACACTGGAGTAGGTTGCTCCTTCCATCTTCCCGCAACTGCTCAATACACTCGTGAGGCCCGGTGAAATACGCCATTCAGATCTGTCAACTCGGACGGAAACGCGATTTAGATGTACTCGAGAATCCACGTGCAGCACTCCACTGAAAGCCTTGGTAGGGGACTTCGTCAAGGTGATGATCTTGCCCTACCTTATCAGACTTTTATTAATATATGGTGGCATTAGCCACGAGCTACATAACATCAAAGTTAGAAGTCACCAGTTGCAGCTGGCCGCGCAATACAGCCCTTTGGAATACGGCCGCAATCTTTTGCCCTCCGAAATTGTTAAGCGTGCAATGCTCTTCAAACTCATACGGTTTCTGCGTCTATGTTGTCTAAGTTTAATTATCATCTAGACGATGTATCAGACCATTTTCCTTAAGTGATATAGTCGGCGTTTATCGAGTGGCGAAAGAACGCAGACAAGCACTGTTCTCAACTGCCATTCCCATCATGCGCAAAATCGAAGTAGGAGGATCTACACTTGTGTTAATGGGAATATCTTGGACAGTCGCCGACTACGTGATCCATCTTTGCGTAAGGTGGTTCCCTTGAACTTGCTTATGCCTCCCCGACCATCCTAATAAGATGATATACTTAACCTTTTGTATTCGTGTCGTATCCTTGTTGCACTCACGGCGCGGCACTCCACCACCCGTTTCGAAATGGTTTGCACACATCAGGGCTGCAAATCGAACCCGGGACCTAACATCTACTTGCCCCAAAAACTGCTCCGAGCTTGATTGACTACTCGGGATGGTTCGACCCTGTCATCTTTCCGGTTTCGGAATTTGCCCGTGAATCTCAGTACAGGATACTCCATCCAGGCATGATAGCGCTGTCAAAACGCGTTCACTTTGCGTTTAAGACCGACGGTTAAAGTCAACCAAGAATTCGCTACACTCCTTTTATCTCCAATAGTAACTGACTGAATTTCCAAACACAGTATGCAACGGACTGTATCGTAGCCGAACAAGTTTCACAAAACCTACTCAGACTCAGCTGCGACAACAGTCCGAGGGGACGTCATTTGAGTTTGAGCATGTGAGACATCTAGTTGGGGCGTCTTTTGAGTTTCGCCTCCCTCCAACTGATTCATCCGTGGAAAACATTACCAACCAATGCGTTTTATTAGCCAGCGTTATCAATGTAAAACAAAAAACTATTTGCAGGCGCATTATGGAGAGTAGATCGCAAATGTCGGGAGATGTCATACGCCAAACAGCGTGCACGTCTGTCCTCTCATGAACCAGGAGTTACAGTTGTGCTTAAGCGAATTGCATGAGGACTCCCTTGGAGATGGGTTCATTTTATTGGCCCGGATAGTTTTGTCCGTAATGTTGTCACCAGCGCCATGCAACGGGGTTTACGTAGCGTTATCTTTTGCCAACAGCAAACATTGTTCCAACTGTGGGCCACTGGCACCACAGGTAGTGAGGCTCATCTGACGTTCGCTAATGCAAATTGCACCGCAGTGGTGCAAATGTCACCTAGTCATCGATGGCTAGTAGTTCAACTTCAGGGAGCGACACCAGTCACTAATGCCGTGTGAGCATGATGCAGGAAAGAAGGTTAAAGCCTCTCCAGTTACTTCACACTGACACACAGAGCGCGGTAGCGATAACACTGGATTCACGTTGTTGCACACAACCACCTAATCAGAAGTATTTTAATCGATCCCACTTGATAAATGAACAGCTCACGAAACAACAAGCGACGGTTCGGTTCAGTTTTGGTTAGTGAGACAACTACGGTCTGAGAATCTAAATGCAGAAGATTCGGTTACCATAACATGCATACGGCAAAGGATATTAATAGAAGCTAGAACGCAAGTAGCTTACTGATAAAAGTGATGATGGAGAAACGCGGATAAAATTAATAAAGTTGGAATCCTAACTGCTAGATATGAGAGACTGAATCATGGACCACTATTCAAGTAATAGCTGCGTCATATCAAAGGCCGCCCCTTAGGCAGCTGCTAAACTACGCGTAGAAAGTGATTCCAACTATTTAAACAACAAAGAGTAAATCCGAAGTCTAGCGCTTTGTTTACAAAACAGCAATTACAGTTTTCACCGTATTAAACCATTGTTTTATCTGTCAGTATGTGACTGACCCATTACTCCTCGTACCAAAGTCACGTGGTGGTAAAGTAACGAAGATATTTTGGGTTGGCGGCATCGAAAGTGGTGAAAACTGCGTCAAACTGGCATTCACAGGTCGTGTACACATCAGATTTCTCATCCATTGAAGCGAACAACTCATCACAGACTGAGACATCCCCATAAGTGACAGCAGCGTTTTCAAATAACGAAGTGTATAGAAACTGCACAAGATGATACGAGCCTTGGATATGTTACCATAACAGTAGATACTTGAGATAGACTACAACCCAATGCGAACGTTATCCAACCGTTGGCATTCGGTAATGCCATGAACAGACAACCAGCGGCTTCCAAGTAAAGCACTCGTTGGCAGTAAACCGTAGACAAATGTTTGACTAAACCATGTCACGTCTGTTAGCATATCTGCCCCCGTTAAGCCGGTGCATTGCGCCTGCAACTGTATTTTTACCGTATAGAGCACGAGGAATTACTGAGGTAAAATACACCGAACGAACTAACCCATCGCGCTCGACTATCTATCATCATCGTCTTTCGGCTGCAACAAGTTAATAAGTAAGACCGTCTCAACTAGTTGAAGGCAATTGTGACACTTACGATTCTCGTTTCAACCTCATACGACCATACACTTCTTTCTTGTCAACCGCCGCTAACCGACGATTGTGAACATACAGTTAAGGAGTGTGTGTGTGTTTGTGCGCGCTATACTACTACACACAAACTCATAAGCGCCACTGACGACACGCAGGATAATGAACTCCTTGCACCCAAAACTGGGGTATCTAGAACTGCTGTGCTATGCATAAGTTGGAATTATCAACTTACCAGACAACTGTGCTTGCTTTTCTTTCACAGTGCACGTAGGCGAATTCAACATTGTAATACGAGAACCCTTTTTCCAGACGCTATGTATGATACCGTTGTGCGTGTACCCTTTGGAGGTCATGGATGTCGCAGGAACAGCAGTGTCGCTGTTGGAAAGCACAAAAGTCATCTAATAAATACTCAAACTTAACCCGACTGTACACATTCACGGAAGAGGACAGCTTCATCCATGCAAGAGCGGGGAAACGCACGAGAGACAACAGAAATTGGGAGAGCGTTTCGTGGTAGCCATCTTCAAAGTGAAAAGACATTTCTGCCGCATTCCAACCTGCTAAACTGTATTGTGAGCTTCAAATGATGGCCTATTAAATAGATGTTGTTTTTAGTTGCAGCAGCAGAAATCAAATGTGGTTTGGGTTCTTCAGAATCTGGTAAGCCGTAATAAGGTACCCCATAAGTACCGATATCGACCGCTGTACACCCCTAGGGAATTCAATCTAAGCTGGTAGGGTAGATGGAAGAGGCTCCTAACGTTACTGGTTGCCATTTGTTGAGGAATCTCGAGAGTAACGATATCCTGTTTCTGTCACGCGGGTTACACCTACATGGCATATTCCACGTGAGATCGCACGTAGACGTTAAGTATTTTTCGAAAGATTGAGGGGTCAACACGACCGAACGCTCTGCGAACGAAAGCAGAGTTGATTACCCGTTCTCGACGCCTCCTTTGCTTGTTTCGAGCATCTGAGTTCGTCCTGTATCAGTAGACCCAAGTCACTCTCCTGAGAGACCTACTGCGAGCTTTTAAATGTTCACCGATTGATGACGCAGGTGGATCATCTTGCACCTAGCTCTGTTGAACTGGAGTAGGTTCCTCGTCGACCATTCGTGAACGCAATCCAGGTCACGTTGGAGGAAATCGTGATCATCCGCCATATGTTAACATCATTGGCGAAAAGTAGGAAGTTGGAGGAGATAACACCTGCCTGGTCATTGATAAACATCAGGAATAAGCGCTGTCCCCGTGTTGAGCACTGTGGAACACCGCATTTCATCAATCGGGTTGGACAGCGATCCCTAACGCGTACTTGAAGCCTCCGTTATTTGTGCGAGTCAGTACAAGCTGTAGCATTCAGCTGTTACATAGTGTTATTTAGGGTGTCGGTCAATGTTGCAAATCTGTTGCTGGTAATAAATCTATGGAAAAACAAACATTTTACAGTCTACTTAGTGCAGCCGGGTAGAACACTACCGGTTAACGGTAAACATCGCCGATGTTAACGCTAATCCAGCCAAAGATCACGAAACCGTCGATATCGCAATCAGTCAACGATACAGGCAACTGATGTTGAAGAGCCTTCAAATGGTCGGTCATTCGATGAAGAGATAGGTATTTAAATGGATGATTAGACTATGGAACGCAACATATGTGGTCTGTGTTGTGACTGGGAAGGTGAGTCAAAGGTTAGGCGAGATACACGCCTGTCCAGAGATGGGTATGGGCGGAGCTTAGTTAAAACGGTCCATTACACTCGGTGTACGAAGTGTTGAGGTCAGTGCTACAGCGTAAGAGGAAAGCTTACAA